GGGCTTGGAGCCCCGAGGTGCCGATCTCGCAGGCGAGGTCCCCGACCCGCCTGCGAGCTGCGAGGCGGGGATGATTTTTTTCTCTCTTCGGCCTGGGGACGAGGCCTGGCTATTAGGGGGGTTCTAGGGCCTGGAGGCCTTTCCTTGGTGGGGGCGTCCATCCTGCGGGGAGGCCTTGGCCGGCCTCGGAGCAGGGTGGCGAGGTGGGAGTAGTGGTTGGTTCAGTGGCAGTTGGGGGAACTGCTGTTGATAGTGATACTGGGATATGTTGTGCAACACTTGGTGCTGGTGTTGTTGGAACTGTTGCATTTGGGCTTGCATTGCCCGCATGCACTGCATCAGGTCGTCCAACCGGTTTTGGCTGGCTATCAGGGGGACGGCAGTCGGTTCAGTAAAGGTTGTCTCAATAGGGGGAGGAAAAGGGATGCTTGTGGCAGGAAGGTTTACAGGCGCCACTGCTTGTGGCACATTCAAACTGGGGATTCCATCCATCGAAAGGGGGATGGTGAATTGTCCAACGCACACCACAGGAACTTGAAGTTGCTCCCCAGTGGTGTTTGTCTCCGTGCCACGTCTGGCGTTGCTGGAAGAGGCCATGAGTGTTGGGTTTTTTGAAGAAGAAAAGGGGGTATGAGAGTTTGGAGGGAGGCTCTTTTGAAGCTTTCCCACAGACGGCGCCAGTTGATGATGCGCAATCCGTCCGGTCCTAGCTGTCGACGATCTTGCCTCTGAACTGAGTAGCGGGGAACCTGAAACGGAGGAGATGAGGAAGCTCCGGGGAGAACCCGGTGTAAAGGCTCGGAAACTTAAGTTAGAATCCTTCAAAGGCAAGATAAACCAGATAGCACAGAGTTTGCATACCTCCTCTTTGGGGGTGGAGAGCCTTTTATAACCACCTCGCGCACTCACTCCTAGACTCCTGTCAGGTCGGCAATGAGTATTTCCGTGCTTCTGCCAGTTCGGGCGTCATCGCCTCTGTTTGGGCAGAACCGTCACTGCTCCTTTTGTCGGAGCCGTCTCTATAACTAGAGGTAGCGGTGACAGGTGACGGTGGCAGGTGGCCGTTTGAAGTGCGGCCGTCAAGCGTCAGATCCCAAGTCAGTCAGGTGCGCCGCCCCTAGATACGGACTCCTTCGGTGTTAGGTACGGCGCGGTTCGTCTAGTTCAATGCTCCAGAAGCGAAGTGCCTTGAGCGGTGCGTGAGGCGAAGTCTTGAGTTCGGATAAGGGGGGCCCCGAACTGTCATAAGTCGGGCCAGTTCGGGTCTCTGCTTTATGTGACTCGGGGTCAAAGGGAAAGTTCGGGCTCCTCACAGGGAGTTCAACCACTAAGTAGGGAGTTCGGGCACCTTGCAGGGAGTTCGATCACTAAGTAGGGAGTTCGGGCACCTTGTAGGGAGTTCGACCACTAAGTAGGGAGTTCGGGCACCTTGCAGGGAGTTTGACCACTAAGTAGGGAGTTCGGACCGCTTGTCTCTTTCCTTTGGCGCTTGTACCCTTGGTACGCTGTTTTAAGTGCCGAGCTATTTGCTTTTTTGCCACGTGCCGTGATTTGCGAGGTCGGGCCAAATCTTCCTTCATCACTAACTATTTACAATGACGCCACTAAACTTCTACCTTTTTCCATATTTGTTAAAAAGTATCTTTATCTCTCATTTTATTTACAATCAGGTCGTGTTAGGTTGTGTCATGTGAGCCATGCTTCCCTCCTCCCCTAGAATACTTTAGGGGGTCAGCCCGACACAAATCTCTCATTTTATTTACAATCAGGTCGTGTTAGGTTGTGTCGTGCGAGCCATGCTTCCCTCCTCCCCTGGGATACTTTAGGGGGTCAGCCCGACACAACCCTCCGCCTGAGCCCGCACAGGCCTGTGTCGTGCAGCGAGCCAAGTCACAGGCTAGGCTAAACCATGAACCAAGCTAATCCATGTTTTTTTTTTAATTTTGAAGAAATAATGAAAAAGTTAAGATTAATTAAAAAATAGATAAAAATAAAAAAAAATCTTAAATTTTTATTTTATATGAATTTTGATGTATACAATTGTTTATATATGCACTAATAAAATGAAATAACATAATAAAATTGAAAATAAAATTATATATTATATAATTATTGTATATAATATATGACCCGAGCCAACACGTTTTTAGGCCTGGCCGAACCACGAACCAAGCTAAACCCTTTTTTTTAATTTTGAAAATAAATAATGAAAATTTTAACATAAATTAAAATAAATAGACAAAAAATCAAAAAAAGATCTTAAAATTTTATTTTATATGAATTTTGATGTATACAATTGAAAATAAAATTATATATTATATAATTATCATTGGGCCACAAACCGGGCTAAGCCATGTTTTTATAAATTAAAAAATAGATAATAAAAGTTAAGATCTTAAAATTTTATCTTATATGAATTTTGATGTGTACAATTGTTTATACATGAAATAACAAAATGAAATAATATAATAAAATTGAAAATAAAATTATATATATTATATAATATATGGCCCGAGCCCGCACGGGCCCGTGCCGTGCTACAGACGAGGCTGATCCATGGGCCAAGTCTTAGGCCAAGCTAGGCCACAAATCATGCTAAGCCATTTTTCTTAAAAATTTTAGAAGAAGTAATGAAAATTTTAACATAAATTAAAAAAAATAAATAAACATTGTTAAAATTTTATTTTAGCCCGAACACACACGAGCCCATGCCATGCCACGGGCTGGGCTGGTCTATGGGCCAAGTCTTAGGCCAAGCTGGGCCATGAACCAGGCTAAGCCTGTTCATGGGCTCGATAACCTGACATTTCAGCCCAACCCATAAACACTAAATTAATTAATTAAATAATTTGATATAACCTTTACCAATCTTGTGTTGACAATACATAAAGTTTTATTTCTTTATTTACTTATTTTACTAAATTATTTAATTAATTAATAATTTAATAATCTAACAAATTATTATTGCTAACAAAGTAAGACATAGAATCATGTATATATTTATATATATTTACTCTCTCACTTTATTGCYTTTTTCTTTCATTTATTTTATAAGTTTATTTATTAAATTTATTATTATTTAATTATTTATAATTATTCCACTATACAAAACAAAAATACAATGACAAAAGTCATCTCTCCCACTTTCACTCTATTGCCCAACGGCAGTGGTTATTTATCTATTGCTTTATTTTATTAAATTAAATATATTATTATCTCTAAATTTTTATTATTTTAAATTGATCTTTTTTACAATAAACTTTTAATTAAAAAGTTTACTTTCACAAATTTTTTCCTATATAATAACCCCTCCGCTAGTTTTAATTTTTTAACGACAATGTGACTCAGCGCTGGGCTTCTGAAGCCTCTATCAATTCCGAGTTGCGACAATACACAATGATGTTTTCCCACCTGTTCCCTGTCAGGACCGGCTAAAGAATTAGTTTACAACTTTATATTACATCAAATTGAAATACTTGTCTAGAAGCAAGGTTCAAAATATGGATACGCTCAATACGCCAGTATGGGCGTATCAGGCGAATCAATACTCCTTTTGATTCTTTTTTTTTTCGCCAACTGGTTCAGGGGAGCCAGTTTAGGTCTTCACCACCGATACACCCACTGTAAGTGCATATCGGTGGAATGCCAAAACGATACGTATCAGCCAATACGGGCCCATACATGTCGATACTTTGAACCTTATCTAGAAGCCTACCTAGTCCAGCATCAAATTGTATGACTAATCAATGGCGAGCAGTTCGCCTTCGGAGGAAAAAAAAAGAGGCAACTAAATAATAACAGCTTGGGCAATAATCCATTCTAATACATGGAAGAAATAAAGCCCTTGAAAATTTGGCATTGACCTGCTTGAGAAAAGACCCAAAACAAGAGAGCACCGAGATTACATGGATCGGAGTGGAGAAAGCAAACGTAAAGCATTGCCAATCTGACGTTTTCTAACCCTATTACCAACATAGAGCATAGCAATCGTCTAAATATGATGAACCTTAAAAACAATTGAATAAAAAAAAAAGAAAATCATCATCCCAAAAGAATTTCACAAACTCAGAATTACTCAAGAATGTGCAAACAGTGACCGCCTCTACATCTCCACTCTCGATATAATCTCCTCTTATCTTCGTGAATTAATGCTCTGAACCGATAATGCCTTGCATCCAAATTGGTTGACTACTTTTGACTCGAAATTTCATGAAAGCATAAGCATTAATTAAAGAAGATCTAGTAAAGAAAAATGAGGAAACGAAACCAGCATTAGAGAAGACAGGAAAGAAAATGCTATCCCTCGAATTTAGATGGTTACCTGAGGGACCAATGATCTTGAAGGGGGAAGGGGGGGTAAGGGTAAATAAAACACCAAAAAAAAGAGTGAAATCAAGACCACGGAAACCCTCACTGGAAGGCATCTCGAACACTTCTCAACCAAGGGAACAAAAGAAAGAAGAAAGATTACAAATGATTTGTGAATACATGGCTAAAATTGAAAGGAATAATAGATCGCTGGGTAGGTCAAGTTGCTTTTAAACATTTTCCTATATGTAAAAAGAGATGAAACCAGTTGCAATATTTTTGGAGGCTTTCGAACCCTACCTTGCTCTCTCAAGAGCCATTTCTCCCCCAACAGAAGCAGCATGAAGAGATTTTTGGATGTTTAAACTTCACGATTCTGATCTAATTGCAGCCAGCAACTCCAGCATCATGGTTTATGAATCTTGAAGCCAAATATTCGCGGAACATAGCTTTGTGGTGCCTTCTGTGGCTTGAGATGTCCATAAGTCATCAGAAAGAGGTGAGGAAATGTAGTTCCGAAGTAAGCTCCATCAATGTCTAGGAATAGTAAAGGAAACTTCGAGCAAAGCAACATCAAACAACACATAAACGGAACGGAGACATGGTTAATTCGATCCAAGCATATGCTTTTATTAAACTATCTTCAAGCACAGCATGTACTGCAGTAACTACCAGCAAATCTACATCAATGCATTCGTATATGTGATGAGTATACCTAATTCAAAAGCCCATTTTTTAGATGGTCAGACTATGGCAGCTGCTTAGGAAAGGTTTCCTTGGCCATGCATGCATGCCACCCACTTGCATATTTAATGGTTATCGAGATGAATGAATTGGACAATACAAAGCAGCAGAAGAGAATGCATTTTCCTTGGTGATTCGATGATTCTAAGTTCTAACCATTTATCAGATGTTATTTTTGTGCGGTTCAAAAAAGAGAACCAACAGGTCAAACACAATTAGCTAATCATGTCAAGATCAATGAGAACACTGGAATTGCCTACAAATTCATGAGCCTCAACGTTGGGCCTGTAGGTGTTAACCTTGGAGCCAACCCTCATTTGCTTCTTAAACACTGATTCCAACTTATGGTACCAAAAAACTATGGACCTCTACAAACACATCATCAACTCAAAATTATATTATAAACAGCCTACAAACTCGTACACCTCAACTGATTCATACCGACTAGAAAAACCAAAATCTAAAGTTCTCGATAGATATGAAAAAAGGGCAGCCCAGTGCACAACAATGCCGAGATATGAAAAAAGGGCAGCCCAGTGCACAACAATGCCGCCAATTATAGAAACTATAGAAATGCCCCTCAAGATCCAAACAAATCAACAAAATTAATGTCCCTCCACTCCAGATCCAAAAAAAAAACAACAAAATTATAGAAATGCCCCTTCTAGATCCACAAAATTCCCCAAAATTAATGCTTGAAAAATCTACTGAAAATCATAGAAATGCCCCTCCAGATCCAAAAAACCAACAAAATTAATGGGGCGTTCATGAGGGTTAGCTTTCCTTAGAAAGCCATATCAGCCCTATATAGAATCATTCTTCTAGTAAGAAATGATTTAACAACTAATAGTTTAACAGTTGATATGGCTTTAAATAGAATGGATTGGTAAATTGGGATTCATGTTGCCAACCCCCATATAGTTGAGATAAGGTGGATGATGAAATTAAATTTTTGGGAAGACCTCTGGTGGGAAGATGTGCCTCTTAAAGACAGATTCCCTTCCCCTTGTTCCCAATATTTGTATAAAAACAAATGAGTGTCTCAGTGTCTCTCATTCTTTAATTCTATGTTAACTTAGGACCTTGTTCCAAGGAGGAGCCTTTGAGAGTCTGAAACTCTTGCTACTATGGATTTGGTTTCTCTTCTTGAAGGTATTATGACCATACCAAATCAGATGTTAGGATTTGGCCTCACTGACCCTTGTGGCCTGTTTATGTGTATCATTTCTCAGAGTTAATTCCATTCCCCATCAGATTTTCCAAAGAAAGCTATTTCCTTTTCAGTTCCACCATAAAACCAGGAAATTTTCTTGGGAGGTTTATCACATGAAGATAAATATTGATGAGGTATTGCAAAACAGAAGACCAAATTGGTGCTTATAACCTAGTACATATTCTTATTTTGCAAATCAAGCTACGAGACTATTACCCACCTACTAATTTCACATTCTTTTGTTTCTAGTATTTGCAAGCTCTTTCCTCAATTTGGTTGCAGGTGGGATAATCTAGTAGATTTCAGTAGCCTATTACAGGCTTCTCCTCACCCCCAATAAGAGAGGGAGGATTCTTAGGAAATGCACAAAGGCAGCAGCATTTTGGAATATATGGGAAGATGAAAGCAAGGATATTCAAGAAAAATGAGGAAATAAGAGGGGCTGTAATTGAGAACATATTAGTAAAAATAGCTCAGTAGGTAAAATCAGTTGTTTGTTTCTGTCTCCACTGATGATACTATTAGAGATGGTAAGGTACTGTAGATTCATCTTTGGCAAGGAAGGCTGGCTTTATACTGATTGTTTTCCTCCCCCTAATTTTCTTGAGCCAAACTTTGATGGATGCAGCATATGAAATCCAGGAGACAAATCTTGACTCCTCAGAACCGGCTGGTTATGGTGATTCCACTAAGGCAGAACTTTTAGCCTTACTACATAGACTCAGATTAGATCATTCTCTCAATTACAGGAATGATGGTAGAAGGAGATTCTAAGCTGGTAGAAGGACAATTCAGAAATGAAAATGATAGTCCAGGTTTTTCGTTGTATAGACATTTTTTGAAAGAAGCAAGATGTTTAGCAGCACAGATGGGAACAAGCATTAATTGGACAATTATCAACAAAACAAAACAAGCATTAATTGGACCCATAGACCTTCCAATTGTTTACCCGATGCTTTGCCTAAACAAGGAGTGCAAAGAAGGCCGTTGTATTAGGGAAATGTGTAGGATAAATAAATCAAGGGGCTTAGGTGGCTGAATCCAACCTAAGATTCTCACAAGGGGTTTTGGCACTACTTGTAAACAATTCTTTTTCCAAAACTAATAAAACTTCATCAGTCTGAACAAAAAAGGTTGATAGAACAATCTCATGGTTTTGTGGTTCAAAACCACAAGTTTGTTACTACAAAAAAAGTAGACCCTTTTTTTTTGAAACAAAACCATGACAAAGCACAACATGAGACAAATACAACCTAATTACTGACCCTATCAATATCCCAATCTCTTTGTTAGGACCTCCACTAGAGGTTTGCCAACTTGTTTTGCCTAGGCCAGTTGGACCCTAGGAGCATTGTGGGCCCCATAGAGAATAGATTGGGTACTGTTTCTCATATTCTCTTTCTTTTTTTCTTTCTCATGATCAGATACATCATCTCTGTTTTCATTCCTAAGGAACATTTGTCACATGTACGTACATACACACATAGATATACATGAGATACCAAATAATGAAACTAAAAAACAAACAATCTCAATCAACAAATGAATGCAAGGCAATGAGGATTACAAATTAGAGTTAATGAGACATCATAAAGATGTTGATGGAGAATGCATGCAGTTAGAGCTTATTAATAAGGATACTGCCTTGGTACTTCGATCTTGGATAGTAAATATCTTCACACTTTGGACAGTAGATTTTCACAGTGCTTGACCGAGGAATGTCCGATTGGCCAACTGGAAGGCAGGGCTGCCCACAACAGTAAACCCTAGGACATCTCCCAAAATCATAGTTCTTGTACTTCTCCAACTGTAAAGAGTAAAAAAAAATTCAAATCTTAGCCAAAGACAAAAACTACACATCTATGGATAGAAAGAGAAGCAGAAATGTTTTGTGGCAAGATCTCACCATTGCATTCATTCCTTTGCTGGTTAATATATATCTGACATGAATCAGCCCATAAAGCATCTCGGCAGCTGATTCAACTAATTCATTTTGTTCCTCAGTAAACATATCACCTGTGCCCATGAAAAGAAACCGGTCATTAACATATAATAGCCAGAAAAGAATTAAAACAGTGCACATATAACAAAAAAATATTAAAAATTTTTAAATAAGAACAGGAATCCCCAAAAAAAGCTGTCAAGAAAAGAGGAAATTAAGTTGATGTTGGCTGTGTCAACAAAAGCCTCTTCGCAAATGGAATAAAACCAGAAAAAAAAAAAAATTACTACTTGGACAGAACAATTAAGCCTCATGTACATATAACAAGAACCATAGCCAATCATTCTGAAAAAACTCCTAGACATGAAACTACTAAAAAATTTGGTGGCCCACTTCAGCAAAGGATAGGAAATTCAGCTTCACTTAACAATTAACCGTTTACTAAGCCTTGTCCCAAAACCCACTAACAGCCAATAATTAATCAGATAAAACCAGCAATAACAGACCCATAGAACACAATAAAAATRGACATAAATATGCTGGTACAATCTGTCAACAAATCTGATTCTCTTCAAGCTTGTAAACTTGGAAAATACCTTTAAAGTTGTCATTCATCCCAAATTATTAACTAATCTMTTTACAAGGTTGTTTCCAACTAGATCATTTCATAGTCTACTTCACCCTAAAATCGATTATAGAAGTATATATTTATCACATAATAATATGTCTAGATACTGAAGAAAGAACTTCGCTACCCACTACAAGTCTCAAACGTTCCAATGCATATGGGTGGCCCTGCCATGAGTGACTACCATTCTACTAACCTGTATCATAGAGAGGCAAATTGAATTAAGTGCAGACATGGAGGAGTCAAAAGTAAAGGGTGGACCCCATGTACACAAACACAAAATATAGGAGGCATAGTTTCCCAGGCACCAAGGCAAGGCTAGGCAAGAGGGTATACCCTGTTGCCTAGGTGAAGGCCTAGATGCCGCATAGGTGATGGGTTTTTTCAGATAAAAATCATGAATCCAAGTGCAATTTCCTAGGTTTCATAGCAACTAGGAACCAGCAACCATCTTTGACTAGCAACCATCTGTAACTTTTTTTGAAGAAAACTATAGATAATTACTAGTCAAAATGAACTTATTCATGAAAAGAAAAGAAAGAAAAAATTCAAAAACCGAGGGGATAAGAAGAAGAATGTGTTGAATGGGCAAAATTTTAAGTTCTTCCTTGCTTATCAGTTTAGGGTTTAACTCTCGAAGCCTTCAAGGGTTCAATAGCATACACCAAAATGTGKGTTGATTGAACCCTAACAGAAAAAACAATAAGAAACTAGTAATATAAACCAACAAAATAAATAATTAGTTTAATAGTGTCTATTTTATTATTATAGCTAGATGCTTAAGCGAGGTGAACCCTCCATGGGCACCTAGGCATCACCTTAACAACTAAGTTGAAAGGATTATTCACACAGAGACACAGATGACCATACTGATGTCAAACATCAAGGCTCTGACACGACGAATTGACCATATTGTGTCAATTCATCACCCAATCCATATCTGTACAGGTTTAATTTTTCAATAGAATTTATTTTCATTTCACTATGAGAAAAATATGTGTACAGCTGACCTGGGGCATGGTCATGGCTCATATTTTAAGAGGTCAAAACCACTATTGAATGGATTCCAGTAAGAAGTTAACTGAGAAAAAGATTAGTGAGAAAGATGATCATAACTGTGTGCTTTTTAATGGTTCCAAACTATTCATTTCAATGCCCTCTGACCCAAAAAAAATTATCAATTTAATCATTTCTGCATCGGTAAAAATCTCAATAAAGCTACTAAAACTAATGAACATATAAGAAAACGAAGTTCATATCCTTTCACCAAGATGATTTCAGTGATCTTTTAGGCGAGACAGTGTCCAATACCCTGAACATGGCATGTGTGGCAAGTTAATGGGCAATGATCCCCTAGCTTGTCTTGAAGGGTGTCTACCATCATGGAGACCAAGAACATTTTCTCCTTTAATAAAAAGACACCATCTAACTTGCAGTGAATGCCTTATTTTATACATTTCCCCGGATTCCCACTGTAAAAGATATAACCAATAGCCTTGGGTCTGTAGTGATTAATTATGTGCTAGAAAAAAAGGAAAAACAAAAAAAAAAAGAAAAGAGGGAGCATTTATTTAAAATCATAAGGAGAGCCACATGATCATCTCCCTTCCATAATATATTGTATAAATTTTATTTCTATGGTGCATCCTATTAGTTTGCTGATACATCTTAATATCACAAAGGCTGTGTGTGTGTTACTTTCGTGTCATTTTAGGGGTGTACCTTATTTTTTGACATGCAATTGCTCTATTAAATTCTTGTTATTAAGGCTGCCAACAGGTGTCTATGGTCCATGTCAGTAGAATTTGATAGACAATATATAAGATGTTGTCTATCAAACTCATAAATGCCCATAGCCCCAAACAATTTGATAGACAATATATAAGATATTTTTGGTTAAAAATACTTGATTTATTAACGTATAAACAAGTTACTATTTTACTGCCATTTATATTAAGGTTGTATTATCAAATAAGTTGTTTTTTTTTTGATAAATAAAATCACATTTCATTAAGATCAAGAGGAAAATACAGACCCTTTGGGAGGCATGAGATACCGCCTCTCCACACATGAAACCCAAATACAAAACTATAAAAACTAGAACAAGGAGTACAAGATTACAGTTTAGCCCAGAACAGTGTTTCCCTATTTGTCCCTTGTTTTGCCAAAATATCAGCGACGGTGTTTGCTGATCTTCCWGCCCACTGTATTGTAACAGACATTTCTTGTCAGCCATTTAAACTTCTTTAGCTTGTTCTTGTAAATCCATGCAACTTCCTCTTAATTATTTAGCCACCCCACTACTATTTTAGAGTCCCCTTCAATTAGCAACTGCTCCACACCCAATTCTTTAGCAAGAAGGACTCCTTGTATAGCAGCTAGCAATTCTGCTCTAACAGAATTCCCAACTCCCAATGGGCCAGAGTAGAGAAGGATGACCTCTCCAGCCTCATTTCTCAAAACTCCTCCCAACCCAGAGGGCCCTGGGTTGCCCTTGATGCTCCCATCAAATTTCAGTTTAGAAAACCTTGTAGAGGAGGGGCCCAGTTTGCAGAAACCCTGTCCTTTATGGATGAGCAGCTTGCTACTGCTGTCCAGTTCCTCCATGGATCATTAAAGGAGAAGGGCTGAAACAGTTCCATAGACTTTAACCAGTGTATTGCCCTATTCATGATGATGCTTCAAGGCCTGGCTGCTCCTTTCATTCTCTTGGAATAATCTGGTATTCCTTTCTTCCCAAACTGTCCAGATCAAAGCTGCTCTTGCACACCTCCACATACTTCTTCCTCTTTTTTTTTTTTTTGATCAATAACATCAATTTCATTAAATTAAGAGAATAGAGGGAACATACTTCTTCCTCTTTTATCAAATAAGTTGTTGTTAGCATAGATAATTATATATCTCAATAATGATAGGGGCTAATTGGGTCGTACCTGATTATCCCAATTAATAATTGGGACAGAATATTTTTATTTTTCAAACTCTATTGTCTRGCAAAACCTAAATTTTTTGCCTAGAATCACCTATACACTGACAACTATGCATGAACATATGAGAGGTTTTCTTTGGGACCAGGAGACTCAAAAAAGGACCATCTAGTGAGCTTTGAGGATGTGTCTGACAATACTTTGGATCTGGACCTGAGGATAGGGGTGAGGGGCTCAGAAGTGAGCTTTGTAGATTAGTTGTTCTCTTTGTTAAATTCAGTTTTCTTAGATCAATCTTGCCCAGATAATAGAATTTGGTCAGAACCTTCCTCGGGTTTCTTCTCTTGCTCTTTGTCTTTCAATGCTTTACCTCAGCCTACTAATGTGTCTGTGTGTTTTCCTGCTAAAGAAATGTGGCGTACTCCTGTTCCACCAAAGACTAAGGCTTTATGCTGGAAAGTGGTTCTCCAAAAGACCAATACTATGGGCACGCTTCAAATTAAAAGGCCAAATTGGTGCCTTTCCCCACATGTCTGTAGCCTTGGCTTGAGGAGTGGCAAAACAGTGACTCATCTATTAATCTCTTGTCCTTGTTGTTTCTTATACTTGGGAATGATTCTCCTCTCTTTGGTTGCAGGTGGAATCATCCCTCATGTGTGATGAACCTTTTTTGACTCTAGTTTCTTTCCAATAACCAAAGAAGAAGGGTAGAGTCAAGGCTACATCCCACATTTCCTGTAATAACTTGCATGGTGTCTGTGTCTGGTGTCTAGCCACATCCTTGGAGATGATTATGTGGTGATAAATTCAAATATTGTAATATTCCCTCCCATATAACCCTCTGTCCTTTGTTCATGTCATGATTCTCCTGCATGTGAGCTAAGAGAATGGGAGAGGAGAGAAACTTCAGGCTGGCGGGGAAGTGGCGATTGGAGATGATCATTGAAGCAAAAAACTTCCTATTCGAGCAGGGAAGGACAAAGGGGAAGATTTACCTGAAAATCAGAGAAGGTAGCAGGGCAACAATTTTTCTACCAGAGGAAGCATGTTATTGGTTGAAAGGATTTGTTGATGGAACTGTTAACACCATCTGGGAAGAGGGATGGAGAAACTCGGTGGTCTGTTGGGGAAAAAGATTTGAATCAGTACTAAGAAGGAATGGAAGAGGATGGTTTATCATGGTAACAGAACACTCTGGAATTAACAAAAAGCAAGTTATCTGTATACCGGAAGAACAGAAGAGGCAAGGATGGGTTTCCTTTGCTCTTAATCTTCAGGCATTTCTCATGGAGCTTGAGAGGAAAGTTGCAGAAGAAGAACCTGATAGCAGGCCAGTAGGAAGTAACCCAACAAATCTTTGTGCCCCGGAGCTTTACAAGGAGCAAAGTCCTGAAATATTAGTAGCTAGTTCAACTGAACACCAGAGAATAGTACTTGAAGAAGGGAGAGGTAAGTGGGAGACCAAGATGGTCTTAATGGCAGATAGGGAGATAAAGGACTGGACAAAGRTTCTAGATGC